TTGTAATCCTCCTTCCTAGACCCCCTGAATAGCTGGGTTGCAAGCATACACCACCACACCCAGCTCAGAGACAAGTTTTATGTGGGACTCAATTTCAACTAGAGAACATGAGATGTTCACTCTTGGCAATGTAGGATTCTAAGTGGACTTATTTATCTTTAAATATTTCATGAGCTAAGTTTATAATCATGTTATAAACAGTATGAATGATAATTTAGGCATATCAAATAATATCATGTTTTTCTTAATTTACAGTCTCGTGATAAATTAATAATTCATTACATGTTAATTCTATACCACTGTGTATTCAAGTACACAAGACCAGTAAGCATAAGATCAATGTGTGATGACATTATAAACATTTTAATAGAATTTACTCATAATAATCACCACTCTAAAACCAATTCATTACTTTTACCATTAATTAAATTTGACTTGAAAAATGTATGATGTTTGATGTTACTTAGAAGAATACCTATTTACTTGTTTTTGTGATGTCAGATTCTCTGATACTCAGTCTTTGTGATATTTTGGGTATGATTTTTTTAAAGTACACACTTAACACTGTATAAAGTAATGAGTTTATTCTTAAGTTAACAAGATTRTCAGTAAAACAGAAAAAGTTCATTGCATTAATTAGCATCTTATTGAAATATAATTTTAATTTTATGTTGTTGCATTTATTTACTTTACCATTTTTATTCAATTTAAATGTGTTCATAAATCGCTCAATAAATAAAACTAATAGCTTACAAATAAATTTTAAAGTTAACATATTAATTTGATTTTTTTTTCCTTTTTGCAGTACTTAGTATCAAACCCAGGGCTTTGTGCATACTAGGCAAGTACTCTACTACTGAGATACATCCCCAGTGCAGCAYATTACTTTTCTTAAAAGGCCTATCATATTCATGCACAGAAATTATCAATCAAAAATTGTGAGATCATTAGGGGAAAATCTAGAGCTTTTTATATTTTATCAACATGTATACTCATTAGCTTATTTTAAAAACTTCTCATGTATTGATAAAATTTTGTAAGTTTATATGGCAAAGTTCAGAATGTAAAATTACATTATCAATTAGAATATACACAATCTTGGGCTGGGGTTGTGGCTCAGTGGTAGAGCCCTTGCAGTTCGATTCTCAGCACCACATGAAAATAAATAAATAAAATAAAGGAATTGTGTCCAACTAAAAAATAAATATTTTTAAAAAAGAATATACACAATCTTCAGGAACTAGCCAACACACCTACTCTGTGCCAGGAATTATATCAAGAACTAGGAACATAAGGACTTGGAGAGACAAGGTCCCTACTGCTCTGAATGTGTTTATATTCCTAAAGGGAAAGATAGTTAATAAGCAGTAATAATAATCAGAAAATAAGAGGTATCAGTGAATTGACAAAGTCTAAGAGAGTGGCTGGGGTTTGCAATTTTCTTGTGGAGATGACATCTAATTTGAATTCTGGATGATCAGAAGAAGCCAATACAAAAAAAGAAAATCAAGTCACTCAAATTCCATTCACTGGTAGCCAATTTTAAGAGACTTAATTTGCATATTGAAAGGAAAGAGGAAAAATGAAAACATTAGTGGAATTGTGTGTWCTCAGAACACACACACAAACACATAACATGCTTTTTGAATTTTATTGTTATTGCTACAAAATTGTTTGTCAAATACATATAAATTAAGTCATAAATATATGATCTCTCTTGGATCCTGAGTGTTAGTGAAATGGAGGGTAGCTTTTATATTACAGTATCTTTACTTTTTTAACATGTTTTATTGGGCTTTAATGAAGCCACGTTAAATAGGTCTTTAGGGAAGGAGAGAGAAACATGTGGAATATGTAACGTTTTTTAAAAGCATAGTAATATTAATATGTTAAATTCAGTAAACAGGAGAAACTGCAGTTTTTACAATGCAAACTATAGGAACAAAGACTGACTAATTTTGGACAATGGGTCTCTATAGAACATAAAATTCCAATGTCTTGGAAGCAAGTAGAACATACTTTCATATTTAACCAAAGAAATCATACATGGGTTTCAAAATTTAAGACACATGGCCTGAAGTGCTTTCCTAAAAGTATCATCCTAATACTTAAAGAAATGAATCGAGAGCCCTAAAATTACACAATTCTATTATAGCAAATAATTCTGAGTGAATTATCAAGGTGGGCATATATTTACATGCAGTAATATTTCTCTTGGATTTATTTGTAATTATGAAAGTTTGGGAGAACTGCTATCTCCACAAAAGGAACATAAATAAACAAAATTTTAAATAAATAGCCAAAATTTTCCATCCAGTATTTAATGTTCATGTTTTAGAAAAATATTTAATGCCATATAGTAAAATGCTTAAGAAGAAAAAAATACAAAATGGGATGATTCAATATTTAAAAGAAAAAATCCCACTTATATAGAAAATATTTAGAATCAGTATAACTGCTTTGGAGAACAATTTGGCAGTGCCTATAAAGTTGAAAATGTACAAGCTCTACAAGCCAACATTAATGTGCTTGACATAATGATAGATTAAAAGTTGTAAAATCTTAAGATAGAATATTACTCAAATGTTAAAAATTAATGCATTTGAACTGTATATCTACAACAAAGATAGGTCTATATATTTCAGCAGAGACAGTTTTCAAAACAATGTTAAATTTTAAAAAGAACGTTGCAGGATGGTATAATATGGTAGTGTTTATATAAAGTTTTAAAACACATATAACAATACAAATATTGTATACAATACACATGTAGGAAATAAGCACATAAAATTATAACCAGAAATGATACAGRCCAGAATCATGATGGTAGTAGCCTTTGGGGCAGAAGGGAGAGGAATGGGTCTGAAAAGAAAATCAAGTGGGACTGATTATGGTATTATATTTTATCTGAAATATTTTCTATGTCCTTTATTTGAAAAAAAAAACTGACAAATGCTTATATTGCAAATTTTAGTGGTGATGATACATCCTTGTTTATTTTATGAAACTCATTTTTGTGTGTGCTTTAAAACTTTAAAAAACAAATGATTGAAAGAAAACATGTCAATGTTTGCAGTGATTATTAATCTTCAGGGAGATGACTTCAATTTTTATTTTCATATTCAGGCTTCCACATTGATGCTGAACATTACACTATGCTTAGGATAAAGTGGTACCTTACTGCTTGAGTCTATTCAGGCTACTATAACAATATTCCAAAAACTAGGTAGATTAGAAACAACAGCAATTTATTTCTCACAATTCTGGAAGCTGTAAAGTCTGAAATCCATGAATCAGCAGATTCAGTGTCTAGTTAGCTCACTTTGGGGTTCATAGATGATACTCATAGCAGCTAGCAGAGTGCCCACTACACAGTAACTGCTCTGTAATGTTGAAGGAAATGTGAATAAACACATAGATGAACAGCAAAAGTCACAGTCAAAGGTACAGTGAGTGGAAGACAGAACATTAAGTGGGTCATTTCCATGAGAAGCAGAGCACAGTGGAATGGGCCCAGTGATGCAAATTACCACCTTGGGACGGTTATTATTTGGTACTTTTCTTAATATCCTGACTTTTCCCTCAATAAATTTTTGCTACCTTTCTCATTTCCTGCCAGTGCTGGCCACACCCATAAGCACAGTCCCTGATTTACAGCTAAATGAGTCTTTACTTTATTGCATATCCTTAAACTGTCTCAGAGCCAAGACTACACATAAATACAAATAAGGCATATACCTGATGGGCTTTGCTATAAGATAATCTCTTGCTTTCCTAGTGAGGAGACCCAAAAAAGTGTTTCTGACCAACTTAGGTGTATAGAGTTTTAGGAATGCAGATTAAATAGTCATGTTCATTCACATTTTTTAATTTGTTAGTTTATACATGCATATTTAAAACATTATCTAGAAAATGCATTAATTTTTTTCATTTAAACTTTATGGAATCAGTTTAAGCTTCCATATGAATCTCAAGTCATTTAACATAGATTCCAGAGCAGAGCATCTTCACTTCTATTTCAGTTCTTTAAGGTACAGCATTTTTTTATTTTTGTGGATGAAGCTGTCACTGAAAACTTTTTATCACAAATCACAAGTCCCAACATATAACACTAGGATAATTTTTTTACTCATCTTTTAGTGTAGTTTTATGAGGCCAACAATACGACTAAATGCTAAATACTAAATTGATCATTAAAAGGCTTGTTTACAACAATAAATAGTGCTACCAACTGTGGCATCATATTTTCCACAATATTAAGTACTAAATCTTTTCAAAATGTACTTGTCTTTTTTTATGCAACAGCCTCATCAAGATGAATTCTATAAGCATTCTACAGTTGCAGTGGTCACTCCAGTTTCAAGTTAATGTGTTTTCTCAAAAAAAAAAAAAAACCCTGTGACTTAATAAAGCAATTAAGAAAGTACACTATTATGTGAGGGATTTTGTAAAATCTTGACTATAAAGCAGCTCCCAATCTGAACAGTCTATAACACTGGGGGGAAATCTTCTATTTGAAAATGTACTATAAATTTATTTTCTTTAACTTTTTTAAAAAGAGAAACCTTATCTTCTTTACGCTAATGATTAGAAAAGAAAGCTGAAGCATAGCTGCATATAATATTAAGGAGTAATCAAAATATGAGTGGATTAACATCATTTTTTGGTTTACAGGACATTAGAGGTTTGAATATATTTTGATTTCAAGTTAGAAGCAGGCTCTGTGGGCATGTATCTGTGTATGTACTTGTAATGCCATAATTATGGGTCTATGTCTACGAATTAGAAAGTTGCAAATGGTGAAGAGCAAGTAAATTGGTTTAACTAGAGTAAGTGGATCAATTTAAAAGAAGAAAACAAGTTCACTTYGATGTGTTATTGTGACGGCAGAGGACATCAAAGTGATAGGGAACAGCTAATAGTTTATTCTATTTGAAAATTGTGCAGCGTCTCAGTTTTCAACATTAAATATACAGTTTACATATTTGCATATGTTTCAGGCTACATTATTGGAATTTTGAAGTCATGAAAGCATCAGATGAACCAGCCTGCAACACCTTGGATTCAGATTGGAAGATAAAGTTTAGAAAATGTGGCCTTTAAGGACTGGTAGTACCTAAAAATATTAATCGACTCACATTGTAAAAATGACACCAATTTCTAAACAGTAGAAATTATTTTAGTTCAACATCAAGGTTCAAGACAAAATGTACAACTAAAAACTTTACACTCCTCCCTTCCCCACTTCAGACAGGTGCCAGCATTGGTGAATTATGATTTTCCTTAGTTGTAAGCACTCATTTTTACCCATGTAAACCATCCCTAGGAATTAAGTATTGGTTATTTAATGTAGAGTATAATGGGAAACTGATTAATTTTACAATGGCAGAGTTCAAGGACTTGGTTCCAAACTGAGCCGAAGCTTCCCAATGCTTTTTGTACAGTCTGAGAAAAACTGTGCTGCATTGGCCCATTTTTGAAGGCCATCATGCTCTGTAATATGAAGATATCATCTTAATGCTGATATCTTTGGAGAGTCCCAAGCAGACACAGAAAATGAATGGAGGCAAGGAGTGTGACGGAGGGGACAAGGAAGGAGGTCTTCCAGCTATACAAGTTCCTGTGGGTTGGCAGCGTCGTGTGGATCAAAATGGAGTTCTTTATGTCAGGTGAGCCCTTATTTATTACCTATGTCACCTCCAAAGTCATAGTTCCAAAGTTAAGGAGGCAGAGTCTGTTCTTCTTTGAGGGAACAAAATATTGTGACTGACAGCACCTCAGATAAGTTTCAATAACTGACCTCTGTGCTAGAAATGCACAAGTATTTTTATTCTATACTGTTTTGTAGTGTAAATTGACATAGATTATCAGAGAGAATTTTTATGCATTAATTGTGTTTACATGAGGTGTCATTCTGCTTCTCTGTAATAAGGATAAAAAAAATATGAAGATTTCTAAAAAACTTAAAGCATCATTACTACATTCACAGAAGAATGCAAAATACTGGAAATAGACCCAATACCATTTGGCAATATTACTCTGTTCTTAAAAGTACTTCAACTGACTTTTCTAATACTAAAATTCTGTTTTTAATCTATTAGCAGTCTTACTTATTAGACTTCTTAATGCTTGATATTAACCAAAAATAATTTGCTTATTTTTTTCTGCACAGTTTTTAATCTATTTCCTTGCATGTAATAATAAAAATAAAGTCATGATGGAGATAGCTCTTCATATTACAAGTAAAAATCATACAACTAAATGCAAATGCCTCCTCTTTAAAATTTTGATGTTATATCTCTTTTATAACAAGTTGAATGGAATAACTGAACTGTTGGCAAGAAGTTTTAAGTCTTATTTAATAAATAATTGGCATCTAAGTTCCTTATTTATAATTTTCCAATAAATATATAGAAGTTTAGGTTACCATAAGTCTTTCTTCATGATATAATAAAAAAAATTAGAAGTAGACTTCAGATTTTATTAATTCCACATTAAGCAGCATCATTAAATTGATGCTATTACTTTCAGTGTGGCTCTTTGCATCCCAGCTTCAATAGAATTTTCAGTTCCCTATAGATGTATTTGCATGAATGAGGCATTTTCTGTGGTACAAACAATTTCATGCTTTAACAACTCAAAAGTCAGTTCAGATGTGGGTTTATTGTTTGTTTGGTTGGTTGATTTGTATGCTTGTAAAGTGCTTCTTGAGGAAAACTTAATTACCCACTGAAATTCTTTTGTCACAAAAAATTCTTATATCTGTAATATTAATGATGTGCTCTGTATTCGAGGAGGTGAAGGAATAAAAACTCAGGGAATGTGGAGCTCATCCCATAATAGAAAATATGAACAAAGACACAAGGAATAACTTTTTCCAAGTGTTTATATTACCAACGTGGCTCATAAAGTGCCAGAAATACTTTTTTATAAATATAACAAATTATCAGTGATATATGTTTATATTTATGGTTATTCTAGTTTGTAAAGAGATGATGTATGTTCAACTTGAAGCAAATGACTTAAAAAATCTTGATGATTTTTTTTTACTCCATCTTATGAAAGATATATCAACTTTTCATATTGCTATGAGCAAACCATGTCAAGTCTAGGAATCAAAAACTAAGAAGTCTAAAATTAAAAAAAAAAAGAAGTCTAAAAGTTGATCAGTCACTTTCAGTTAATATCAGTTCATAATTTTCCAAGACTGACTTCTTCACTTTTCTGATAATCATGTTAGTATGAGTTCTCCAAATTTAAGACTGTACACTTGAGAATTATTTTAAAAACTAAACTTTTGCAGGTAAGGTTAAATGCTTTCAAATTAAATCAAGCCATCTGGGTTTGATTTGTTTGTATATAACCAATTAAAATACTACTTGAATATATGTATGAGGCTAGCCTACCTTCAATAGCTACCTTTTCAATGTATAGTTTACCTCTCATTTTTAGGTTAATCTTCAATTTCTCCTGCCTCCTGGTAGCATTTTGAGGTGACACATTAAATTTTCCACGTGTTTCCAATTTTCTAAACTGTATCCATGCTGTAAAACTTGTAACTATTTTTTACATTAATTATTGCCCCCAAAAGTTAATTATAAGAACTACAACTAAAGGAAAGAATCCAACTGACTAAGAGGAAGAGTTTCAAGAGGTCTAGAATACTGTAAAGGAATTTAGGAATTCTTGCCTTTGATTTTAATTTCACAATGAAATTCCTTTAGGATTCAGTGCACACACTTTCTCTTAAGCAAAATGTTGGCAATTTCTCTTCCCCCGAATTCATCAATTCTTATTGTGAAAAATCAATAAGTTAATTATTGGTGACTTTGTTTTATTGAAATTATTATACCTCCAAAGCCTCTTGTTGCCTCTCCTTGCATATCATCTAAAAGTAGCCTAAACAAATATGACGGTTTTCATTTAAATTGTTCTTTGTGCCCAAGTCATTTGGACAATTGTCCTTAAACAAAATATGAATTGCATTTTAAAGCTAGTTCATTTATGACTGCACAACTGCTTCTTGTGTCTTTTAGAGGCAGAAAGTCTATGGCCAGTAGTGCAATACTTTGTGTATGAATTGGAGAGTACTCTTTCTGGATGAATTGGATCTAAAGGCTTAAGTGAGGGTTTTACCTAATAGTCATAAATAAAAGAATTTCAAATGAAAAGTTCATAGGAATTTCAAAGCATAATACTGATTAAGTTGTAAAATCAATATATTCATAAAGCCCTAAAATGTAAATTACCCATTTTAAACTACTCCTCATTGTAAATAAAAAAATCAAAAACTTATCCTATCATCTAAATTAGTATTTAATCTGTTTTACTAATTTTTGTGACCAGAAGAGCAGTAAGATGAAAAAACCTACCCACTTACCAGCCCAAAAAATGCAAGGCACCTTTTGTCCACCTAACATCCTGTTTCCTCAAAAACTTCCCATCTTTTGTCAGCTCTGTTAGATTCCTCTCTGCACAATGTTTCTTCAGTACAATTTGAAGTAGGCCACAATGATCTATCTTCAAAGAAACACACTGGTAAAGGAGAGAAAGAAATGTTTTTACATAGGGTCAACTTGGTTTTAGACTCCAAAATAAACAGGGAAGAATATATTAGCTCTGACTTTTGTAGACTTGGCCAACTTTCTGGTTTGAACTTTAATATGTTCCTAAGTTTCAGTTTTTCCTCAACAAGCTTTGAAAGTAAATGTCGTAGTTTAAAATGATAGTGATTACTTTTATGTAGTTTTTTCCCCCGTTCCTTTCTTGCCTGTTTCTGTCCTTTCTTAAGAGTAGTATTTTTCCTATCTTTAGTCCACTCTTGGTTTTCAAAATACTTTTGTTTAATTTTCTGTGAAGATCTGTATTTTTCTGATAAATATTTTGGTACAAAAGAAAGAGCGATAGTGTTAAAGGCTATAATTTAGTAGCTAGCATAATATTGACAAAGAAAATGCTTTCCCTAGCAGGAAAATATTATCCTGTGAAGGACAGTAAGACTATAAATTATGCCTTTTTTCATATAATATGTGCAGTCAAAATTATTTCCTGATGTATTTTTAAACTATTTTTACAGTCCCAGTGGGTCTTTGTTATCTTGCTTGGAGCAGGTTAAAACATACCTGCTTACTGATGGAACATGCAAGTGTGGCTTGGAATGTCCTCTTATTCTTCCCAAGGTAACCATTTCACAATAGAGATACAGCAGTTTTTTATTTTTAGGTATTTTATATATTTGCTTTTCTCATTTGGCATTTCATTTTTATATTAGTTCTCCAATCATGTATTTGTTTTAACTTTTTATCTAATTAGACATCTTTTACATGCATTTTGGAATGATTAAAGATTGTGGGAAATTTATTCAGGTCATTTTCAAAGGTGACAAACTATATTCATATTAAATATTTCTTTAAAACCACAATTACACCTTTTTATTAGAGCTGTACCTATGCTCAATATTTAGTAATGCAGTATTTTCTTTAACTTACTCTAACTGCAGTATTACTTTTAGCATGGTTATTGATAAGTCTGTCATAGATGTTTCTAAAATTGTAAAGCCAAACCCTCATAACCAAAATATGAAAATGTTTTACTCCTTTACAAGGTAAAAAGTAAAATTACTTAAAATAGTAAAATGTTATTTGGTATAGAAATAGCTCATTCTCTGAATGTTTTATAGTATTAATTTTCAAACTAAAAATTAATAAACAACTTTTTTCTTTTTACTATGTTACTGCATCATAAAAAAATTTCTAATAAGTAAATTTTTAATAGAGCAGTAGATTTTCTAAGTCAGTGAAAAGGTAATATAAATACAATAATAAAAGGAAGCCAAAGGAAACTTAGCATGTAGAAATATCATAGTTTTTTGTTTTGTTTTTGTATCTAGATTTTATCTGTTTTTGTACTGGTATAATAATATCAAGAACTATCTAAAATTGGAAACATTATTAGATATTAAACTTTTCCATATATTTATCTTGGCTATCTTAGAATTACTGTAATTTTCATTATTTATTTTGCTACTAAAAACCGTAAGTTCAGCAGAAGTATTTATTAAGTTATATAACATTGTTTTCCTTAAGTTTAAAAACTTAAGAAAGTTTTATTCAGATTTATGACTTAATCTCAGTACAACGKTTTTCTTTTTAAACAAGAGGATCTTTTTATTAAATGTTTTTGCAGACATATTCTAAACAAAGACTGTGCTTTTTCCAGGTATTTAATTTTGATCCTGGAGCTGCTGTGAAACAGAGAACTGCAGAAGATGTTAAGGCAGATGAAGATGTCACAAAGCTATGCATACATAAAAGAAAAATCATTGCAGTGGCCACACTTCATAAAAGCATGGAAGCCCCACATCCTTCTCTGGTGCTCACCAGTCCCGGAGGAGGAACAAGTATGTAATATGGCTAAGGGGTTAGGAATTCTCCTCCCTCACTCCATTGCAAGAGAAGGAGATGCTGGAAATCACTTTGCCAAAGCATTTTCCCTTTTCACTTTTCAAACATGCACAGTGTCTTTAAGGTTTTATATGATCTATCATTTTAGTGCAAATAGCAAATTAATTCTGAAAAATTACCATGAGGTTATTTCCCAGAATTCCTTGTGCAGATCATCTGGTTACATAATCAGAATAAACACTAATTAGCACATCCTAATGCTATGCAGATGTGCAGAGCTGAGCTCACAGAAAAGAAAGTGCCATTGGTTTTTAGGAAACAAATGTAGCCATTTTCATAGGGCTATACTGGAAGATGTGATGTTAAATCCCCAACAATTTAGCAGTTTTGTTAAAAACAAGCTGTTTCTTTTCTTTTTTCTTTTTTTTTTTTTTAGTCATTTGATAAATATTTGTTGAACACCTACTAAACAAAAATCATCTTGCCAAGAACTTTTTATGAGCCCCCACTCAACTCACTCTCAATCTCTCTCTCTAAATCTCTCTCTCTCTCTCTAAATCTATCTCTCTCTCTCTAAATCTATCTCTCTCTAAATCTATCT